GTGTAACGGCGGGGTAACCACGAGTTGCCAAACCTGTTATCTGTGTTGTTTATTCAGTTCAATTTAGAATATTGTTCTGACTTAGAGTATTTAAATTCATTATTTTCTTCTGTTATGTATGGTTATGTGTTTATTGCCTTCATTTAACATATACATATATAATGTATATATATACATATATATATGTGTGTGTGTGTGTGTGTGTGTACTATTTATCATTATTATTCAGTTATTCTTTCCACTGCAAGACTTACGCCTGTTTTTATTCAGTATTGATTTTTTTTTGGGTGGGGGTGGGGGCAGTCTCACCCTTGTCTGACTGAATGAAAATCCTAGTCGGCAACTGCCGAGCTAAGCACCACTTATTCGCTTTTATTCATTGCAAATATTATGAATTTTTTGTCTGTTTATTAGTTATTTTTACGCTTGTCATTACTGAATTATTTCAAAGAAAATAGATACACTTATAGTAAAAAAAAATCGCATAGGTTATCGAGGTAAAAAAGGTGGAATTAAATACGTTATCATACTTAGCAATTAGATATAGCAAGATGCATATAGACAAAAACATTTTATAATCACCAGAATAAAAAAAAAAATCTATCTCATTTTTGATAGTGGTGTTCCTTACTGTGAACAACCGTCAGAATACTAAGGGGAAAGTCTATTTTAATTTTGGTTTTGTTAGGAACCCCCTTCTCCCCGACACCTTAATTTGACAAAGCGATATATCATTTTTTCGCCGTAAGATCGGTCTCGAGCCAGCAGTCGAAGAGCAAGCATATCGTAGCTGCTTTTGGAGCACGGGGGCAGGGTTACCATTAGTGGTGGGAGCAATCGATTGCTTGTAATCAATAAATCAATACACTGACTATAATTATTGCAATTTCCAGTAATCGTTTACCAAACGTTTACTCAGTCATGGTTGAACTGAGGACCGTCTCATTATATTTCAGTCTAACAGAACACACCATGACCTTTTTTTTCTTTTTTTTTCTTTTTTTTACTCTACAAGGTGTTGCATATTATTTTATCTTCACTAGAAGTGAGTGTACTGTCATTGAGAAAGGCTGTATGGGATCTTGGCCTTCCCCTGAATTACATTAGTGGTATAAAGAAAGGGGACCTGTTGTGTGGCAACAGCTTGTTTTCCATGTCACCATTACATAGGCCTAGGCCTAGGAGAGGTCATTTCAGTGCTACTTCAAAGCAACAACACAACATGAAAAATAAACAAGTTTCAGTTTTGATTGTAAATATAAGGATAACCATATATGAAACCTTAAGAATGGGAGAGTATATATATGTATATATATGTATATATGTATATATATATATATATATGATGATAGGGTTGATAGAATATAGTAATGCAAGAAGCTGAATAACTATAAAAAAATTTTGCTTTGCAGTCCTAAAGCATACATTACCAACAGGGTTAATATCCCAATGGCCTTGTTCATCACCGAGTTGTGGATGATTTTTAAGATCTAAATATGTTAAATGCTTATAAATTTGCCGGAAAATCGTAGGGCTATGACATTAGCCTGTAGGTTTCAGATTTCGTGTCTGCCTCTGTGTGTACACAGACATATTATGGCATGTCATTTAGTTATAATCACCATCTGTCACTATTATCAAGTAGGAGTCTTCATGGTAATGGAGGCCTCCTTTGAGGGTGTCAGAAATGAGATATTTTTTTTTTTTTAATGTCGATAATTTGTAAAGGTGGGTTAATGAGAAAATAGTCTGTAGATTTAGGAATTATCATACTACATGTATTGGAATGTGTATTAGATATGTATGTGTATATATTTAAGCGTGCAAATAGATAATCTGTGTTATTCCGTTGTTTTATTCAGATTTCATCAACTATGCACGTTTTGCATTGTGTTACGAAGATCAGTCTCCTACCCTGTGATGTTGAAACGTAATTATTGACAGAGAAACCGTAACACATTCATAGTGATCTTCAATGAAACACTGCACTCCCACAACGGAGTATTGCATATCCTGAAAACAAACACTTCAGTATCGTTGTGTATTCTCTTAAATAGTGCTCGTTGGTAGTGAGGTAACGATAAACATAGAATACAAAAACCTATTTGATTTTCTTATTGTTCATAAGTCCTATACATTCTCGTTATACTTATTTTTTATACTTATATATTCAAATGACGTCTCATTCTGACTTTTCTTAGTGATACGCATCGGTAGTGGGAACCTCGGTGAGTCCAGGTCAACCTTTATGGCGGGGAAATGAACGGCATTCATTTCAGAAAACCTTGCCCAAAATAATAAACCCCAAGCCCCCGACAAACTGTCAATCCAGCCCAGCATTCAGACAACGTTGCACGAACATCCTTACCATCATACAGATAAGAACATCGAGACGTATGCACCATGAATGCCAAAAGAGAGATATAATTCCAAAGAGCACGCCCACGAAACACGATCATTTTCTCATATCTTAGCCAACATCCACAGCAGCGACAGAACGAACTTGGTCTCACAGGATATAAATCGAGACTGACTAACACGCCCAAGCGATAGAGTTGCGTTGTGCTATATTCGACCACGTTTCCTGACACAATATCAGCATTTTAAAGTAATGCGCTGCAAGAAGTCATATATGATGAACTAGAGGAACTTATATACAGTAGAGTAACGTTTCTTATAATGATCTTAAAAATCATAAAAAAACTGCAGTTTATTATTAGTCAGAAAAACTAAAATGAAAAAAAGCCGCAACTGTAGTTCATTTCTCAAAACAAAAGAAGAAATTAATGAGAGGAAAGACAGAAAATGTCACAATTGCGTTAATTTTAACAGGATGTCATACAGCAAACAGGAAAAGGAAGCAGAGAGAGAGAGGGAGAGAGAGCGAGAGAGAGAGATTGGTAGATAGAAAGAGGGACAAAAAAGGAGATAATGAGAGAGAGAGAAAGAGAGAGAGAAGGAGAGGGAGAGACAGACAGAGAGAGGGAGAGAGAGACAAACCGATTGGAAGATAGATAAAAAGAGAGAGAGAGAAATTGGTAGATAGATAGAAAGAGGGGCAAAGAGAGAGAGATTGGTAGATAGATAGATAGAAAGAGGGGCAGAGAGAGAGATTGGTAGATAGATAGATAGAGAGAGAGTATCTCTATTTTTGCACCTTTTGAATACTGTGTTAGTGAAATAAAGATTTCCCTTCTCCCTCTTATTACTATCAAGCAATAACATGAGACCGCGCATGATAATGATAATAAGACAGGCGTTCATTTGTTTTACTTATATATATATTCACACACACATGTACATTATATATATGTATATATATATATGTATATATATATATGTATATATATGTATATATATATATACAGTGGAACTTCCCATAACAGGCACCTCAAGGGACCTAGCCAAAAGTGTCAATTTCAAGAAGTTGCCATGTCCAGGAAGTTGGGGTTCAACGCAGGCGTACCGACGGGGAAAACAGGAACAAGGACGACAGAAAGTCATAGTTATACAGTATAATACATTAACACCAGATATCCTTATGTATGTACAAATTTCAAAAAACAATCAGCATTATGAAATTGACCACGGAAATGTATGAAATGGCATTTCAAAGACACAGTTTTAAAACATTTACAAGAGCATTAGCGATAATTTGACACTTCAGTCAAAAATCCATGACTGTTCAACTGTCTGTGCGAATGAAATAAGACATCAAGTCAGTCTGACGGGAAGATGACACGAGTTGCTCAAGTAAAGAGTTGTTCATCTGTGTCGTCATCGCGCAATGATCGTCGTCTTTCGTTGACGCGACGTTGCAATGAACCACAAGAAAACGCGATCCTCAAGGGGGGTCCCGAGCAATTCGTGGCAGGGCTGGATGCTGGACTCTTCACTTGTCACCACCAGGGACCACCACCGTAGACAACCTCCCCCACCCCCCCTTGGACGTTACAACGACGATTTATTTTATTCTTTTAATAATATGAATGTAAATACTTTGTTTCGTTTTATACCTCGTTATTAGTGCCCTTAGTTGTACACGGAGAGATATTTTGATTTGATTTTATTATAAACCTCCAGAACCTCAGTCTCATAAGTGCTTGTTCACGCTCGCACGGCCCGGGCTACAGCTACTCTCTCGCTCTCCCAATCCACGGGTTAATTGGCTAAAACCAGGGGTTATTCTAGCAGTAAGCCAGGGATCCTTTGCGGAAGACTGCTTGCTTAGGATAACCCTAGCTGCAGGCATAGAGAGAGGCCGTAGTCAAGCCTTGTTCCTTGTACGGTGACGGACGGAGGATTCGAGGCACACCCTGTTTGTAAGAGAAGTTATGTGTGCACCAGTAGCATATGCTGGCTTTGCTATATTTTTATCACTTATGTATATATATCCAAGCTCTTTTATTAAATATTAGTTTTATGTGTTTATTTGTTTCTCTTTGTAGCAATGTTTTTTTTTTTAGCGAGGAGTTGTGCCCAGGCTCCCTTTCCGATTTTCCACACGGGGAGTGTTAAGTTTTCGCAGTTCAGTTGACCCCGTTGTGTACATAACGTAATATTAGGGAACCAAAAGGGTTCGATATATATTGATGTACGCAAATTCCATGAACGATATTTATCCCATACCCACCGTGCCCTCGGAGACTGCTTACCGCTCGGCACGCTCCGTCGGCATAACTCAGTAAATGTAGATTAACCAGTGAATAGTGTAAGTGTCAAAGTCTGACACTATAATCTAGCCTTACTGGTCACTACAACGTCGCTCGTGACCAAATCGTTGTCGCACTCCACGTATTCAGTCGCTGTGCCGTGTGTCTAATGCCAAGTCCGGGGAGCTCATTGGCTAATTGGGACAACCGTTTAGCCGCCAATTGCCAAAGACGGGAATTGCCGAGTCCAGGTGTAGTGATCGACTTAATTAACCCCTTGTTAATTAGGTCGTTAGCGCTGCCACCACCTGGTTAGTACGTCCAGGAACTAATTACTGTATAGAAAGAAGACGTCTAGAAGAGGGTAAGATAGCAAAAAGGAAAGCATGTGTGTAAAGAAAAGGAAAAATGACCTAATCAACAAGGGTTTGGTTGGTAAGCGTGTTTAATTTCCGAGGGGAGTGCGTGTCAGCCGTAAGGGCTGATAGGTGTTCAATTGCTTGTCACCAGGTAGCCAAGTATGTATCATGTGTCTCATAAAAAGGGTTTGATAAAAAAATAGAGGGATTTCACTTTGAAGTCTTAAAATACATTTATTAATTCAGAAAGTTAACACTTAAAAAAAAAACTCGTAAAACAACACTTCAAAAATTACAGTTAAACAACAAAACATACAAACACGATAAAAAAAAAACGGAACCTAAAACACCAAAAAAAAAGAGCACTCTGTTAAAACTGTAAAAGAAAGAAAAACTTAAAATATCCCACCTTACTGCAGTTAAAACCGTATCCTTATGACCGCAGGGGAAAACAAACAAACAAACAGCAAAGTCTTTGCTTCCGCCGGGTGTACATCGGCCGCAAAGACGAGCATACTATCCAGACCCCCTGCTAAGATCCGCTCAGTCCCCGGGCTATATATAGCCGACCCCCAGCAAGGATTTTAGCTAATGGCTAGTAACTAGCCCGGGAACGAGCTAAACAATTCCCCCCTCCCTAGATGGCGTGGCAGTTCTTCGCCCATTAAAAACCGTTTAAAGCTTAAATCCTTGGTGTTTAAACTTAATGCCTTAATCCCCATTAAAAGTTACTAATAAGATGTTTAAAGAAAATATTAAAAGAAACAACTTTAATTAGCTTTAAGTTAAAAAGAGAGTGCTTAAAAAGAATAGAAAAAGGGAAAATGGTGATGGTTCCTCTTAATTAAGATCATAATTCTTTATTTAGCAATACAAATATTTGAAATAAAAAAAAATACAATAAAAACTGGAGAAGGCAACAGCGTGTGCGGCTGTGCGGATATTTCCCCCAGTTTCTTTCAGGGGAGACTCAAGGAATCTTGGCTCCGGTACGCATGGCGCAGTATGGGTCACTACACAGGATATTCTTGAATAAGAAATTACATTAGCTTCGGTCGGGACCACGGAAAATCCGCCTATTAGGGGAAGTTACCAAGTCCGGGAAGTGCCTATTATGAGAAGTTCCACTGTGTGCGTGCGTGTGTGTGTACATATGTTGTAAACAGGATGTAAATTAATCTGTAAAAAATCTTTATACATGCAACAAACTTAAAACAAAATATATGTTAAAGAACAAAATATAAGCGATTAAGAACTACATACTTTAAATCTTGAAAACCCCGAAGTACACATAACGATGGCCATTACGAATACTCTACACCTAGTTGTTAGTATTTCCCCTAAAAACTCTTACAGACCACAGAATATTCCCCTGTAGTATTCTCCGACACCTGGACTCCCTGGCCAGTGCTCTCCCACACAACTTAGACCTGCCCATTTTGTTGTCACGGGATCGTCACAAGATTATTATTATTATTATTATTATTATATGCATATGTATATACATATACATATATATACATACACACACATATATACATACATATATATACATATATTTGTAAATATCTTATATATATATATTTTCTCTCTCTCTATGCACACACACTCTGCGTTTGTGCAGCTGCAAGATAAGGAGTTGTTTAGTGTTAAAACACACACATAAAAGAATAAATAAATAATGATAAAAAGTGAAACACCGCATATGCAGTTAACTGAAAACAAAGAAAACCTGCGTGCTGATAACACTGAGCTTACCAGCTGTAAGGATTTACTGAAGTAACATCTGCCACGTACTTGAAAAATCACAATCTGTACCAGTGGTTCTTATCCCGTTTTGGGTTACGGAGTCCCTCGGCCTGAAACATAACTTTGCATGCAATTGTATAATGTATTTTCTTTATTGCGATTTGATTGCCTCATCCATACATGAGATAGACAAAGTGTTATTAAGCTTTAAAGTAAATCTACAGAATACGCTCCTTTTTAAGCCAAAATTAATGGCCACTCATTATAATTAAGAAATACAAATATATGTAAATTTTCTAATGATCCTCACGGACCCCCTGAAACCCATCCATGGAGCCAAGGTTAAGTCCCCTGCACTATACCCACTTACCTTGTGTCTAAAAGTCCAGGGTGAAAGTACACATATTGAAGCAAGGAACAAGTAGCATCTGCCCAGCCACTGCAACTGTGGACGAGCAGGAAATTATTTCAAACCAATAAATCAGAAGGGCGAAGAGATAAAAAAGAGATAAATAACAATTGGAGATATGTGAAGTTCACAACTCCTAATGGTCGTCTAATATCTTCATTATAAAGAACGGTAACATTCAACGGTAGATGGGAATGAATGAGTGTTCTCTTGTCCAGACTAATTCGCAATATATAATACATTTCTGATATAAAGAGAAGGGAGTCAGTGTGCGGTATGTTTAGTAATACCGCCGCGACAATGAAGTTGATCTGTTCACATTATGGATACT